CCGCCTGTACAAAGCTGCAGGATTCAAGGAACCTGACTTGATCTCAGCTTCCAAACCTTTTCGGCGATACCTGCATCTTAATTCGCTGTGGTGAAAACTTCAATCCGGTTAGCGGCATCCGAACCTTCTCACTCATGCAACCTTGAGCAACCCCGTTGCCCTCACTTCGCCTCTTGTATGGTTCTCCTATAGCCTTATCGTTAGTCATTGTTTCTCCCCACGTCCACCTTCTACGGATACCGACGCCATGGCTTCTTCTTCATCGTTGACGACCATTCCTCTTCATGAACCAGTTTTTCAACAATTTCTTCATGATGTCCACCATGCCTATTTACCTTTACATCGGGCTATGTCTCTCCTTCCTCCGACAATGATCCCTGACATCGAGCCAACCCCGTTGCCTAACACTGGTGTATGGAATCAACCCCAAGACCTTTTACCAGAATACTCAGACGCCACCAACGCGTTCATCGATGGTGCACCCGGACCTTGAGGAAGAGGACAACTTTATGCAGGAACTCGTGAGCTACAACCTACCACGCCCTCACCCACATGTCGAGGCTCCGATTCCCGACGCCATCCCGGCCCCACCGAAGTTCTCTATGGCCTCCTCCACTCCGTCGAAGAAGCGTCAACCAAAGGCAACTCCGAAGGCCCTGGCAAAACGCCGACGAAAATCTTCGATGTCACCGACTCGTCCTCCTAGCCCCGACTACCTGGACTGATGAAGAGAAAAAGATGCTCCGCACCCTGAAATCTGACGAGAAGTCCCGATTCTCATGGCGGGTGGTCGCCAGCAAGATGGGCAAACCTGAACGAGATGTCCGAGCGATGTGGAACAAGATCAAGGACCAGTTGGGATGACCGGGCAGTTTCGACCTATTCTTCCATTGTGACACTTCCAGCCAAGAGAAAAGTGTGCGAGCAGCTCGGAATGACCAGTTTCCTTAACCTCCAAGTTCTACAACTTGTGCCACGGGGTTTTCCTCTCATGTATACTTTCTCTCTGTTCACAATTTCCTGAGCTTGGTTGATTTGCACATATGCCGCTCCGTACCCACCTTGATCGTTATTGTTTGCAACGCGCCATGGCTCCGGACTTGATTTCTTCATCTATACACGATCGCGCTCTCCGACACGGGCTCCGTCCTCATCAACGGGTACGTCGCCTTTTCACCGAGCACCGGGATGGAAACCATCTACCTCTACACCTCACCGACCCGTCATCCTGAGAATTGACCTCAAGCCCATGCAGCAACTCGCCAACCACGACCCGTATTACAACATATTGGCACCACAAGTCGCCGGCAATCTATCCACTGATGAATATGAGAGCCTCATCCAAGCATACAAATTCATCTACCCGGACGATGCCAGCCGACACTTTGTCGACGATCTCAAGACCATGGTGATCAATATCATGACACAACGATGATCCATTTACCTTCAGCCCACAGACTACTTCTATATACCTCATGGTGGACACTGACCAGGGCACCCAAATTTTGGATAATCTCCGACATTCGATCCTTGACATCCTCGATTGGTACTACCCTACCTGCAAGACTCATCAACACCTCGAAGCCTTCACTAATAGGTCTACCTCATCTTTGCCGCTTATCCCACAGCCTGACACATCGGATACAGGCTTAGTGGTACGGATTCAAAGCATCCCCCGTGGGCATCCATTCTTTTCACCTAGGTACCATGGTGACCATACCGTGAACATTTGATCGCGCGACTCCCACCCCGAAGAGAAAAAGTTGTCCTGGAGGGAATTCCTTTGTGCGCTGACTCTTCCCAATGGTTTGATCTCCGCTCACCGTTTTATATTGATTGTTCGGATATTTCAGGCTCCAACACAAACTCGCGACCCACGTTCATCTCCGTCGTCATGGCTTCAACCCCTTTTCCGGATACAGACATGCAGGGGACCTACCGAGAAATGCTGACCTCTGAGATTCATCATGACCAACCAGCCATTGGAGAAGATCCTTCGTCAGTTTCGTTTATCCCTCGGTCGGCTCGCACGGTACCTCAGGCCTTGACCGTTCATACCATATACCTGAAAAAGATCACCTACCCAATGACCTCGCACCAACCCGAACTCTGGGTATACTGGAACGGATTCATGACGGACTCGAAACATGGCGCCCTGTCGAAACTTCTTGGGCAACCTTCAACATTCTCAAGACCCCAGAGTTCTACGAGCAGTTGCTAACCAGTGGCGACTTCACTACGAAGTTCCTCCTATTTCCTCGTCATCCACAACTACAGCTCTTCATCCGGTACTCCCTCATCCTGAACATTAATGTACACTTTGGACAACCAGTCACAGTTATCCCCGACCCCTACATCCTCCAATCCTGCTGGGGACGCTCTGCACAGCATCACTCCCAAGGGACACCTACATCACTATATTGGCCCCCATGGCGTTCGACACCTCCTTCATCACCAACGAGGACGCGGCTGAAACAGACCACTCCTATATGACTCCTGAACCAACCCCGGCGTCATTTTCTGCTGAACATCCACGATCAGACGGGAACAACCCAGCTGATATGTCCGACTCGAGCGTTTAGTTGACTACCTTTACCCTCAAAAAAGCGGAAGATTTACTACTTCTCTTCGATGTCATTTGTTTGAACCACTCCTCTATTGACTACCGCTGCTCGCTGATTATATTCATTATTTTCCGCAGCCCAGCTGATTTAATCCGATTCGTATTTGACGCCATGGCTCCAAAAGACCTTCGGCATCACCCATACCGTGCTACTACCTATGTCGAAACCCCGGTAGGCACCCAAACCTGCTCTTGGTATGCTGGACCTGGTCACCACCTGACAGGCCGATTTTGATCATTGTGGACTACTCCCCACTACAATTGCTAGCTCACCGCTCACCCTAGCGAATTGGATCATGCCTCTTTTGCGGCCTTGAGGGGTCACAATTTTCGCTGCGCATTGGCTGGAGAACTTGAAGCTCTTTTCACCTGGGCCCTATTGTGCCCTCCTGACGAAGCTACTTCAATCCAGTTCAATCACCTACGGCCTCAACTCACTATACGACTTCGGGCTCAGTGGGATATTCGGATGATCCCTTCGGATTTGGAGTTTCGCTACGCTGACCTTACCGGGGATGTCTTCCAAGTCCGCAATGAATGGACGGTCATGTCATGCAGCTGTTGGAGGAGTACCGACCTGAATTGGCGAATTCGACAATATATAGCTGTATGTACTCTACACCACTTGTTCCAGGTACTCAACAACCTTTTATTTTACGATTGACTCGTCACAAAGTACGACAGGGCGTCATTCTTCCATAGTTTGAATATTGTATCCTTCATTGACGTGCGAAAATAAAAGGGATTCCATTTTCTCGTCGTCTTCTTCTTCATATTACCAATTTGAAGGTGCATCTTCGCTCTTTTTTCACTACACACGTATGACCGACCTTCGCATGACACTACCAGAGTCATCTGATTACTTACATGGCTTGTTCCGCTGTATTGACTTGATTCAATTGGTCCTCTACCTTTTGACTACCAATGTTTTCTACATTTTTCCTCCTCCTGACCTAAATGGCTATCATTATTCCTCGGCCTGCCTCCTTCTCAGCACCGTGCCCCACTCTGAACTTCATTCCTGCTGCCAATGGAGCACAAGCGCGACGCTGATGCAGCTGGTTTGGCTTGGCCCGGAAGTAATACACGAACTCCTCCGAGCACTTCATTGCCTTCTGACGCATCTTCATCGGCGATATCTTTGAATCCACCACAAGGGAACCCGGTGGACCCTTCGACCTTGGGATCTTCTCCGGCAGACAACACTTCATTGACGACTACCGGGATGTACTCAACTGGACCTCAACCTTCGACTCCGTTCCCATCTACTGAACATCGCCACCCTCACTCTCCTCGTCAAGGCCGTTTCAGCGAACGACTGGTTCACCAGATCCACTTCAAGATCTTCACACACTCCAACAACACACATGAGCTATTCGTCATGGAGATACCGACAACCGGAATTTCAAGAACCAGAGACCCCGAACATTTCTTCTATGCTATGTCTGGACAATGGGAGTGGTCCCAACGCACGGCGGACTACTGGCGCCACTACTTTGGAGTGCCCATGCAACATGGAACCAACCCCTTCGAAGACCACTCCCTATTGGACACGGAATCGATCACCGCCCAGACACCGCAGCCGACCATCGCGGCCCTGGCCACACAGCTACATGAACGTTTGACGGCAGCTTTGGCATCTGGAGAACTTTCAAATCATTGGCGAATGGTGCAGCGAATGACATTTTCTGACGCGATTCAGACCCTCATGACGTCACACAGCACGTCGCGCGAGGATGCCGATTGAGGATCAGCATCAATTGCATTTGCAACGCTTGGTCCTTTCCTGTACCATAGGCGCGAACCCGTCGGCTCTTCCAAAAAAGGACAAAACCCTGCGTTGGCAGGGTGTGTGTGTGTGTGTGACGCATCTAAAACTTCTTTTGTTGTTGTTACCTTCTTTACATGCAGGGGGCATGGCAGCTGTTTCCCTAGCCATGCCAACGAAGCTATGGGATCCAGCCGGAAGGGAATGTGGACGCACATTCCTGTACCTGCATTTCTGTTCGTATGGCAAGCGGCCAAGCCTAGAACCGCACTGCGGAATTTTACTTCACGGTTGTCGCAATCTGGTATTTATTTTCTGTTCTCAACATGACGATCCTATTCATTTTTTGGAGTCTGGTTTCGACTACGTTTGACATTATTGGAAGCCCTACATCGTTTTCGACAAGTACTACCAAGGGATCTACTTTTTAGGTCTAATTGTCTAGGCTGGTTTGCATGTTACAGGACTCAGTTCCTGACGGATCTATTCAAAGATCCATTCTTGTCGTGTGTGTGTGTGTGCGTGTGTGCGTGTGTGCGTGCGTTTGTTTGGAGGGCAAGTTTTATCCGTATTTTCCGTGTTGAGATAATTCCTGGCAATGGCATTCAGGATCCGGTGCCGGGTGGAACAACTCAACCTCCGCTCCCTCCAGGCAGCTGATGAGTTGGTATTCAAAAGTCTTTCTACTTTCTACGAATAAAGTTCTCATGGCATGTCATAGTGTACCATTGTGTACCATGTACCATCTCTTGTACGACTGGAAAGGGAAGTTGCAAGTTGGATGGCCCAGTGGAAATTCTTTAGATGCAGGACGATATAACATAGTTGTTGCATGTTGCTGCACATTGTTGTGATGTGAGAGGCGCATTGTACGTGCGAGGGAGTCAAACTTAATTGCTGCTGTAGAGCAGGCTCCCAAAGTTTACAGAAGAGAGACAATATTACTAGACTAAAGAGGGAAAACAAGATGCATGGACTTGCTCGTAGATGTTTGGTCCAAGCCAGTTCATTGATTTCAATGTGATCTAGAGTGCTGAAAGTATCCGAAGGCTTTTTGTTGTTGGCCTCGGTATCATGCATTGCTGGATGTTTTTGGGTACCTTCATTGCCTCTCTGGCCACCTCGCTTGGAGCGAACTCGTGGATCTCCGAAGAACTGGGGCGGCACGAAGATGTCAGTGGTTTGGAGCGATTCTTGCAGCAGCACAGCCAGGCATCCGATGACTTGGTGCAGTTTGCGACGGGACATGAGACTTTTTGTCAGGAGCAGGTCCCAGGTGTTGGGACAGCCACGGGAATGTTGTGGCGCTTAGCTGAGACGTTGCAAAGATGTGGTGTGAGGACACTTCCAAACGAGTGGCCTTCGGACGATCTTCAATGGCAAGCGCTGCAGCAAGAGGTTTCGGAATCTTTCGGTGCCCTAGCAGATGTACGCAGCGATGATGCCAGCATTATTTGCCGCCGCTTCCGCGCAGCCAAGAGTGCAGCTAGGGCCAATGAGACCGATGCGCCACGATTGCGATGCCCTCGATGTGGCAAGGCCATTGGCCAGGCCAAAGATATGCAGTCCAGACTTCAGGTCTTTCATCATGACCTGGACAGAACCATCACCGATGGCATGGCAGATGGGCGTGAAAATTCCCTGATTGAAATCAGTGCAGCTTGCAGAGACGAGGTTCATGTGCATGCTGCACGTTTTCAGCAGGCCCAGTCCGGCGCAGCGATGCTGGCAGAGATAGAGAGCCTGGAGTGCAACAGCTGCGAGTTACAGGCTTTAGGTGCTGTAGACTCTGTTGATCTCTTGTGGAGCGCCTTAGGGTTGCTGCATTGTGCTCCACAGCTTGATGAGGCACCATCCTTGTTGGAGCCACGACTACACCGTGCAATGGAAATCTTGGAGTTTAACTTGTGGAAAGGTGTAGGCTTTCCAAGCCTTCATGAAGCTGTTAGCAAGGAAATCTTTCATTTGCGCCTCAGCAAGCGCTTTCAGAATTTCGAGTTCTCAAGGTTTTGCATTGCTTTGAACAAAAGCATGACAGTGGCCTCCGGGCTTGGAGCGAAAGATTTCTGGGAAGAAGAGGAGCGCGAGATGCTTGCAGAAAATCACAAACCAGCAGATGTCTCGATCGGATATTTCCGCTTGGCCCATCGCCTCAAGACAACTGCCATGGACGCAGCACAACAAGCAGTGCCACAATCCCTGGCCCTCGCTGGATTCTGGCTGCGACAGGTACAAAGTAGTGCAGCCACACAAGCGGCGCAGCTCGTTGTAGAGGCTGCATATCGAGCCGCTATGAGGCTCTCGCCCGGGCTTCAAATGCTTGTGCTACAGACTTGCCTTGAAGCCTTGCGACCTTTCAACGGCCGTCCTTTGCAAATGCATCATCAAGTGCTTCAGCATCTCCAACAAATCCAGGGGCAAATGCCAGTGACACTGCCGTCACATGTCAGCTTGGTGCAACTGCGGCAAATTGCACCATACGTGGAACGGCTTCACTCGAGTTTTGCTAGGCTACTTCAGACTTTGAGTTTGCAGGCACGGGGGATCAAAGCAGTATTGCTTTATAATATATGGTGATTGATCTAAAGGCTTGTAAAGAGTTTTTTGTTGGGAACCCTCGCGCAAGTTTTTTTCGAGTTCGCGAAAGTGACATTTTTTATTCGCGAAAGTTTCGTGAAAGTTGGATATTATCAAAGGAAGTTTAGGGGGAGAAACTTCCGTGTTAAGGACTTTTAGAATGTCAGGGAAAGAGTTAGTCAAAGAAAGAGTAAGCAAAGAAAGAGTTAGTCAAAGAAAGAGTTAGTCAAAGAAAGAGTTAGCAAAGAAAGAGTTAGTCAAAGAAAGAGTCAGTCAAAGAAACAGTTAGTCAGGGAAAGAGTTAGTCAAAGAAAGAGTTAGTGAGGGAAAGAGTTAGTCAAAGAAAGAGTTAGCAAAGAAACAGTTAGTCAGGGAAAGAGTTAGTCAAAGAAAGAGTTAGTGAGGGAAAGAGTTAGTCAAAGAAAGAGTTAGCAAAGAAACAGTTAGTCAGGGAAAGAGTTAGTCAAAGCAAGAGTTCAAAGAAAGAGTTCAGGGAAAGAGTTAGTCAAAGTCAAAGAGTTAGTCAGGGAAAGAGTTAGTCAAAGAAAGAGTTAGTGAGGGAAAGTCAGGGAAAGAGTTAGTCAAAGAAAGAGTTAAGAAAGAGTTAGTGAGGGAAAGAGTTAGTCAAAGAAAGAGTTAGCAAAGAAACAGTTAGTCAGGGAAAGAGTTAGTCAAAGAAAGAGTTAGTGAGGGAAAGAGTTAGTCAAAGAAAGAGTTAGCAAAGAAACAGTTAGTCAGGGAAAGAGTTAGTCAAAGAAAGAGTTAGTGAGGGAAAGAGTTAGTCAAAGAAAGAGTTAGTGAGGGAAAGAGTTAGTCAAAGAAAGAGTTAGTCAGGATATATGAGGTAGTCAAAGAAAGAGTTCGCAAAGAAAGAGTTAGTCAAAGAAAGAGCAAAGAAAGAGTTCGTTAGGGAACGAGTTAGTCAAAGAAATTGTTCCCGCAATGTAAATGGGATTGCAAGTGGTGCTGGTGGATGAGTTGCCGATGGAGTTTTGAAGGAAGTCTCGCACGAAATGCGTTTTTGAGAGATAGCAGATGCACGAAACCCTGTGTTTTTCCATGCAAAGTCCGTCCCCGAACGCCGATGATCTACCTCTGCGGTGCGACGGGTGCGAGACGGTCTCGTGTGTGGTCGGATCATGGTCGGATCATTCTCGGATCGGTTCCGCATTGTAAATGGGGTTTCAAGTGTTTTTCGTGCATGTGCGGTCGACAGAATTCCATTGTGATTTGCAACTGTAGGATCGTTCCCGCAATGTAAATGGGATTGCAAGTGGTGCTGGTGGATGAGTTGCCGATGGAGTTTTGAAGGAAGTCTCGCACGAAATGCGTTTTTGAGAGATAGCAGATGCACGAAACCCTGTGTTTTTCCATACAAAGTCCGTCCCCGAACGCCGATGATCTACCTCTGCGGTGCGACGGGTGCGAGACGGTCTCGTGTGTGGTCGGATCATGGTCGGATCATTCTCGGATCGGTTCCGCATTGTAAATGGGGTTTCAAGTGTTTTTCGTGCATGTGTGGTCGACAGAATTCCATTGTGATTTGCAACTGTAGGATCGTTCCCGCAATGTAAATGGGATTGCAAGTGGTGCTGGTGGATGAGTTGCCGATGGAGTTTTGAAGGAAGTCTCGCACGAAATGCGTTTTTGAGAGATAGTAGATGCACGAAACCCAATGTTTTTCTATACAAAGTCCGTCCCCGAACGCCGATGATCTACCTCTGCGGTGCGACGGGTGCGAGACGGTCCGTGTGTGGTCGGATCATGGTCGGATCATTTTCTCGGATCGGTTCCGCATTGTAAATGGGGTTTCAAGTGTTTTTCGTGCATGTGCGGTCGACAGAATTCCATTGTGATTTGCAACTGTAGGATCGTTCCCGCAATGTAAATGGGATTGCAAGTGGCGCTGGTGGATGAGTTGCCGATGGAGTTTTGAAGGAAGTCTCGCACGAAATGCGTTTTTCCCCACCTACCAGGTGAGGGTTGTTAGATTTTATGTCAGTTGCCTGCTCCTCCTCTCTTCCTCCTCTCCTCCTCTCCTCCTCTCCTCTCCTCTCCTCGTCTCCTCTCCTCTCCTCCTCTCCTCTCCTCCTCCTCCTGCTCAACCGCGACCCTCGACGCACAGTGGTCTCTGTCGGACCTCAACCACGACCATCCACGCCCAGTGTTCCCTGCCGGACCTCAACCACGACCATCACCGCCAGTGTTCCCTGCCGGACCTCCGCGGGTATCCCCGCCCAGTGTTCCCTGCCGGACCTCAACCACGACCATCCACGCCCAGTGTTCCCTGCCGGACCTCAACCGCGAGTATCCATGCCAAGTGTTCCCTGCCGGACCTCAACCGCGAGTATCCACGCCAAAAGATATGCCACATAGAGTGCCAGAAGATATGCCAGATAGAATGTTAGAAGATATGCCAGATAGAATGCCAGAAGGTATGCCAGATAGAATGCCAGATAGAATGTCAGCTAGAATGCCATAAGATATGCCAGATAAAGTGCCAGAATGTTTGCCAGATAGAATGCCAGCAGATTTGCAGATAATATGCCAGAAGATATGCTAGATAGAATGCCAGATGGAATGCCAGAAGATTTGCCAGATAATATGCCAGAAGATATGCCAGATAGAATGCCAGATGGAATGCCAGAAGATATGCCAGAACATATGCCAGAAGATATGCCAGAAGGTATGCCAGAACATCTGCCAGAAGATATGCCAGAACATCTGCCAGAAGATATGCCAGGTAGAATGCCAGAAGATATGCCAGATAGAATGCCAGATCGCATGCCAGAAAATATGTCAGATAGAATGCCAGAAGATTTGCCAGTAACAAAATGTATAAATGTCATGGTGGGGATCACACGAAGTAAAGTAATTTTCTCCATTTTGGCGCTAGTGATTTTCCTTCTAAAAATCCTTTTAAAAAGTGCTTCAAAATCGTCTTTTTTTCGCTCTGGCGTCGAGATCCGGTTTTGGAGCTACAATTTCCGACGCCGTTGCGCGTAGTTCTATTGTGTTTTGCAACTCAGTCTCTGCAGATCGCATTGTAATGGCTGCGTCAAGGTTGCTTCGTGCTGTGGCTGCATTTGTAATACTATTGTCTTTTGCAGCTGGACTTCGTAAATCGTATTGGAGTGGCTGCATGAAGGCTGCGACAGTGATTTGTCAGCAGATTTTCTCCATTTTGGCGCTAATGATTTTCCTTCTAAAAATAATTTTAAAAAGTGCTTCAAAATCGTCTTTTTTTCGCTCTGGCGTCGAGATCCGGTTTTGGAGCTACAATTTCCGACGCCATTGCGCGTAGTTCTCTTGTGTTTTGCAACTCAGTCTCCGCAGATCGCATTGTAATGGCTGCGTCAAGGTTGCTTCATGCTGTGGCTGCATGCGTAATACTATTGTCTTTTGCAGCTGGACTTCGTAAATCGTATTGGAGTGGCTGCATGAAGGCTGCGACAGTGATTTGTCAGCAGATTTTCTCCATTTTGGCGCTAGTGATTTTCCTTCTAAAAATCCTTTTAAAAAGTGCTTCAAAATCGTCTTTTTTTCGCTCTGGCGTCGAGATCCGGTTTTGGAGCTACAATTTCCGACGCCATTGCGCGTAGTTCTCTTGTGTTTTGCAACTCAGTCTCCGCAGATCGCATTGTAATGGCTGCGTGAAGGTTGCTTCATGCTGTGGCTGCATGCGTAATGTCTTTTGCAGCTGGATCTCGTAAATCGTCTTGGACTGGCTGCATGAAGGCTGCGTTTGGCGCTAGTGTTTTTTTGTTGCACGTAGGTTTAGAGCAGTTTGAAAGCTCGTTTTGTATAGCCTGAGGCAGTGCATGTGTAGTTTCAGGTCTGCCAGGCTGTGCGCGAATTTGTTTGTGCTTGTTTCATTGTTTCTTTCGGGTGTCTATCGCTCATGTCCACGCTGTGCTGGTCCATCGACTCGGTAGGTGACTGTTGGGTAGGTGTCATGGGTAGGTGCCATGGGTGGCTCATTACATGTCCCTCAGAAAAGATATCTTTGCACAGACTTGCGTTTGAGACATGGTGTGTCACGGCATGTTGACTGTCTACGCGCTGACGGCGCAGGATCAAGAGCAACGATGTTTTATAGGACTTCACAACAAACAGATGTTTCCGTAGGACTTCACAAATAAACAGATATGTCAGCTGTCTTTATGCGCATACATGCGGATTGATATTACAGCTACGTAACGCGGTCACAACGGAAAAACAGTTACTATGCCGTACATGCAAGACGTACCAACTAACGTTCAGTGCTTATTGTCGAAGTACGTCGTTACGGACTGCTTTTACCTTTGCCATGGCGCTCGCCGCATACGACTGGCTGGTATGGAAGGATAGAGCTGCTAGCTTTCTGCGGGCTCACCCTCGGGAAGTTGCGCTGCAACTGACTTGGGGTCAGCGACTGGTGGTTCCGAGAGCTCGTGAGGCATACGCAGTCGCAACCTATGAACGAGAGGCCATGGGTCGTAGCCTAGGCGCGGCGCCATGCAACTTGTGTGGATGCTGGACACATAGCTGGTGTGAAGCTTGCAAAACACGTCCGCCCACTGCAATTTGTTCGACGTGCGACGCGGCCAAACTCTTGTGTCAGTCTTGCACGTCGTGTCACCAGCTGGTTTTCTCCGAGGCTTCACAGAAGCCACACTAGCAACTTCCTTGCCTCCCGGAACTGGACGTGCGAAGTTGTGTTCCGCGTCCAGCATGGTCGAGGCGGCGCCGGAGAGTCAGACGAGCACGGCGGCAAGTGTGCAGCCACCTGTGGTGAATGACTAGAGCGCCAAAAGTTCAGATTGGGGCCATTGGAGAAAGCCGAAGTCTCTGGTACGCTTTGCGTCGCCACAGAACCAAAGCTCAGTGCGCAGAATGGCTCAACATCTTGCACAGCAACAGTACGTGGTCTTGCCGCAGAGGGATCAACTCTCGTTTAACTGCCGAGGGCTGGGTGT